AGACCCCTACAGCCTGTTGTAGGCCCCTACAGCCTGTTGTAGGCCCCTACAGCCTGTTGTAGGCCCCTACAGCCTGTTGTAGGCCCCTACAGCCTGTTGTAGGCCCCTACAGCCTGTTGTAGGCCTCTACAGCCTGTTGTAGACCCCTACAGCCTGTTGTAGACCCCTACAGCCTGTTGTAGGCCCCTACAGCCTGTTGTAGGCCTCTACAGCCTGTTGTAGACCCATACAGCCTGTTGTAAGCCCCTACAGCCTGTTGTAGGGCCCTACAGCCTGTTGTAAGCCCCTACAGCCTGTTGTAGGCCTCTACAGCCTGTTGTAGATCCCTACAGCGTGTTGTAGGCCTCTACAGCCTGTTGTAGGCCTCTACAGCCTGTTGTAGACCCCTACAGCCTGTTGTAGACCCCTACAGCCTGTTGTAGGCCCCTACAGCCTGTTGTAGGCCTCTACAGCCTGTTGTAGACCCCTACAGCCTGTTGTAGGCCCATACAGCCTGTTGTAAGCCCCTACAGCCTGTTGTAGGGCCCTACAGCCTGTTGTAAGCCCCTACAGCCTGTTGTAGGCCCCTACAGCCTATTGTAGGGCCCTACAGCCTGTTGTAAGCCCCTACAGCCTGTTGTAGGCCTCTACAGCCTGTTGTAGACCCCTACAGCCTGTTGTAGACCCCTACAGCCTGTTGTAGGCCCCTACAGCCTGTTGTAGGCCCCTACAGCCTGTTGTAGGGCCCTACAGCCTGTTGTAAGCCCCTACAGCCTGTTGTAAGCCCCTACAGCCCATTGTAGGGCCCTACAGCCTGTTGTAAGCCCCTACAGCCTGTTGTAGGCCTCTACAGCCTGTTGTAGACCCCTACAGCCTGTTGTAGACCCCTACAGCCTGTTGTAGGCCCCTACAGCCTGTTGTAGGCCCCTACAGCCTGTTGTAGGCCTCTACAGCCTGTTGTAGACCCCTACAGCCTGTTGTAGGCCCCTACAGCCTGTTGTAGGCCCCTACAGCCTGTTGTAGGCCCCTACAGCCTGTTGTAGGCCCCTACAGCCTGTTGTAGGCCCCTACAGCCTGTTGTAGGCCTCTACAGCCTGTTGTAGACCCCTACAGCCTGTTGTAGACCCCTACAGCCTGTTGTAGGCCCCTACAGCCTGTTGTAGGCCTCTACAGCCTGTTGTAGACCCATACAGCCTGTTGTAAGCCCCTACAGCCTGTTGTAGGGCCCTACAGCCTGTTGTAAGCCCCTACAGCCTGTTGTAGGCCTCTACAGCCTGTTGTAGATCCCTACAGCCTGTTGTAGGCCTCTACAGCCTGTTGTAGGCCTCTACAGCCTGTTGTAGACCCCTACAGCCTGTTGTAGACCCCTACAGCCTGTTGTAGGCCCCTACAGCCTGTTGTAGGCCTCTACAGCCTGTTGTAGACCCATACAGCCTGTTGTAAGCCCCTACAGCCTGTTGTAAGGCCCTACAGCCTGTTGTAAGCCCCTACAGCCTGTTGTAGGCCTCTACAGCCTGTTGTAGACCCCTACAGCCTGTTGTAGATCCCTACAGCCTGTTGTAGATCCCTACAGCCTGTTGTAGGCCTCTACAGCCTGTTGTAGGCCCATACAGCCTGTTGTAGACCCCTACAGCCTGTTGTAGACCGCTACAGCCTGTTGTAGACCCCTACAGCCTGTTGTAGGCCCCTACAGACTGTTGTAGGCCTCTACAGCCTGCTGTAGACCCCTACAGCCTATTGTAGGCCCCTACAGGCTGTTGTAGACCCCTACAGCCTGTTGTAGGCCCCTACAGCCTGTTGTAGACCCCTACAGCCTGTTGTAGACCCCTAAAGCCTGTTGTAGGCCCTTACAGCCTGTTGTAGGCCTCTACAGCCTGCTGTAGGCCCCTACAGCCTGTTGTTGGCCTCTACAGCCTGTTGTAGGCCTCTACAGCCTGTTGTAGGCCCCTACAGCCTGTTGTAGGCCCCTACAGCCTGTTGTAGACCCCTAAAGCCTGTTGTAGGGGCCTACAGCCTGTTGTAGACCCCTACAGGCTGTTGTAGATCCCTACAGGATGTTGTAGATCCCTACAGGCTGTTGTAGACCACTACAGCCTGTTGTAGACCCCTACAGTCTGTTGTAGGCCCCTACAGCCTGTTGTAGACCCCTACAGCCTGTTGTAGACCCCTACAGCCTGTTGTAGGCCTCTACAGCCTGTTGTAGACCCCTACAGCCTGTTGTAGACCCCTACAGGCTGTTGTAAGCCCCTACAGCCTGTTGTAGATCCCTAGAGACTGTTGTAGATCCCTAGAGCCTGTTGTAGGCCCCTACAGCCTGTTGTAGACTCCTACAGCCTGTTGTAAGCCCCTACAGGCTGTTGTAGACCCCTACAGCCTGTTGTAGACCCCTACAGCCTGTTGTAGGCCCCTACAGCCTGTTGTAGACCCCTACAGCCTGTTGTAAGCCCCTACAGCCTGTTGTAGACCCCTACAGCCTGTTGTAGACCCCTACAGCCTGTTGTAGGCCTCTACAGCCTGTTGTAGGCCGCTACAGCCTGTTGTAGACCCCTACAGCCTGTTGTAGACCCCTACAGCCTGTTGTAGGCCTCTACAGCCTGTTGTGGACCCCTACAGCCTGTTGTAGACCCCTACAGCCTGTTGTAGACCCCTACAGCCTGTTGTAGACCTCTACAGCCTGTTGTAGACCCCTACAGCCTGTTGTAGATCCCTACAGGCTGTTGTAGACCCCTACAGCCTGTTGTAGACCTCTACAGCCTGTTGTAGACCCCTACAGCCTGTTGTAGACCCCTACAGCCTGTTGTAGACCCCTACAGCCTGTTGTAGGCCTCTACAGCCTGTTGTGGACCCCTACAGCCTGTTGTAGACCCCTACAGCCTGTTGTAGACCTCTACAGCCTGTTGTAGGCCCCTACAGCCTGTTGTAGGCCCTTACAGCCTGTTGTAGGCCCCTACAGCCTGTTGTAGGCCCCTACAGCCTGTTGTAGGCCCTTACAGCCTGTTGTAGACCCCTACAGCCTGTTGTAGGCCTCTACAGCCTGTTGTAGGCCCCTACAGCCTGTTGTAGGCCTCTACAGCCTGTTGTAGACCCCTACAGCCTGTTGTAGGCCTCTACAGCCTGTTGTAGGCCCCTACAGCCTGTTGTAGGCCCCTACAGCCTGTTGTAGGCCCCTACAGCCTGTTGTAGGCCCCTACAGCCTGTTGTAGACCCCTACAGCCTGTTGTAGACCCCTACAGCCTGTTGTAGGCCCCTACAGCCTGTTGTAGGCCGCTACAGCCTGTTGTAAACCCCTACAGACTGTTGTAGACCCCTACAGCCTGTTGTAGACCCCTACAGCCTGTTGTAGACCCCTACAGCCTGTTGTAGGCCTCTACAGCCTGTTGTAGGCCCCTACAGCCTGTTGTAGGCCTCTACAGCCTGTTGTAGACCCCTACAGCCTGTTGTAGGCCTCTACAGCCTGTTGTAGGCCCCTACAGCCTGTTGTAGGCCCCTACAGCCTGTTGTAGGCCCCTACAGCCTGTTGTAGGCCCCTACAGCCTGTTGTAGACCCCTACAGCCTGTTGTAGACCCCTACAGCCTGTTGTAGGCCCCTACAGCCTGTTGTAGGCCGCTACAGCCTGTTGTAAACCCCTACAGACTGTTGTAGACCCCTACAGCCTGTTGTAGACCCCTACAGTCTGTTGTAGACCCCTACAGTCTGTTGTAGACCCCTACAGCCTGTTGTAGGCCCCTACAGCCTGTTGTAGGCCTCTACAGCCTGTTGTAGACCCCTACAGCCTGTTGTAGACCCCTACAGCCTGTTGTAGACCCCTACAGCCTGTTGTAGGCCCCTACAGCCTGTTGTAGGCCCCTACAGCCTGTTGTAGGCCCCTACAGCCTGTTGTATGCCTCTACAGCCTGTTGTAGGCCCTTACAGCCTGTTGTAGACCCCTACAGCCTGTTGTAGACCCCTACAGTCTGTTGTAGACCTCTACAGCCTGTTGTAGGCCCCTACAGCCTGTTGTAGGCCTCTACAGCCTGTTGTAGACCCCTACAGCCTGTTGTAGACCCCTACAGGCTGTTGTAGACCCCTACAGCCTGTTGTAGGTCCCTACAGCCCGTTGTAGACCCTACAGCCTGTTGTAGGCCCCTGCAGCCTGTTGTAGGCCCCTATGGCCTGTTGTAGACCCCTACGGCCTGTTGTAGGCCCCTACGGCCTGTTGTAGGCCTCTACAGCCTATTGTAGACCCCTACAGCCTGTTGTAGACCCCTACAGCCTGTTGTAGACCCCTACAGGCTGTTGTAGACCCCTACAGGCTGTTGTAGACCCCTACAGCCTGTTGTAGATCCCTACAGGCTGTTGTAGACCCCTACAGCCTGTTGTAGACCCCTACAGCCTGTTGTAGACCCCTACAGCCTGTTGTAGGCCCCTACAGCCTGTTGTAGACCCCTACAGCCTGTTGTAGACCCCTACAGCCTGTTGTAGACCCCTACAGCTTGTTGTAGGCCCCTACAGCCTGTTGTAGGCCCCTACAGCCTGTTGTAGACCCCTACAGCCTGTTGTAGACCCCTACAGCCTGTTGTAGATCCCTACAGGCTGTTGTAGGCCCCTACAGCCTGTTGTAGGACTTTACAGCCTGTTGTTGGCCCCTACAGCCTGTTGTAGACCCCTACAGCCTGGTGTAGGCCCCTACAGCCTGTTGTAGGCCTCTACAGCCTGTTGTAGACCCCTACAGCCTGTTGTAGACCCCTACAGCCTGTTGTAGACCTCTACAGTCTGTTGTAGACCCCTACAGCCTGTTGTAGGCCCCTACAGCCTGTTGTAGGCCCCTACAGCCTGTTGTAGGCCCCTACAGCCTGTTGTAGGCCCCTACAGTCTGTTGTAGACCCCTACAGCCTGTTGTAGACCCCTACAGCCTGTTGTAGGCCGCTACAGCCTGTCCGAGGCCACACAGGTGATCTTTCGTTGTGTTGTGCGTGCGTGTTTGTGTGTTTGTGTGTTTGTGTGCGTGCGTGTTTGTGTGTTTGTGTGTTTGTGTGCGCAGGTGTTTCTCGTGCGTAAGGTTACCGGGTCGGACAAGGGCCAGCTGTTCGCCATGAAGGTCCTCAAGAAAGCCACGCTCAAGGGTGCGTGGGAGCGGTGGGCACTCCGTGTGCGTGTGTGTGTGTGTGTGCGTGTGTGTGTGAGTGTGAGTGTGTCTGTATGCGTGTGTGTGAGTGTGTCTGTGTGCGTGTGTCTGTGTGTGTGTGAGTGTCTATGTGTGCGTGTGTCTGTGTGCGTGTGTGCGTGTGTGCGTGTGTGTGCGTGTGTGTGTGCGTGTGAGTGTGAGTGTGTCTGTATGCGTGTGTGTGTGTGAGTGTGTCTGTGTGCGTGTGTCTGTGTGTGTGTGAGTCTCTGTGTGAGTGTGTCTGTGTGTGTGCGTGTGTCTGTGTGCGAGTCTCTGTGTGAGTGTGTCTGTGTGTGTGTGAGTCTCTGTGTGAGTGTGTCCGTGTGCGTGTGTCTGTGTGTGTGTGTGCAAGTCTCTGTGTGAGTGTCTCTGTGTGTGCGTGTCTCTGTGTGAGTGTGTCTGTGTGCGTGTGTGTGCGAGTCTCTTTGTGAGTGTGTCTGTGTGCGAGTCTCTGTGTGAGTGTGTCTATGTGTGTGTGTCTATGTGCGTGCGAGTCTTTGTGTGAGTGTGTCTGTGTGTGTCTATGTGTGCGTGTGTCTATGTGTGAGTGTGTCCGTGTGCGTGTGTGTGCGAGTCTCTTTGTGAGTGTGCCTTTGTGCGTGTGTCTATGTGTGTGCGTGTCTCTGTGTGCGTGTGTCTGTGTGTGAGCGTCTCCGTGTGTGTGTGTGCGTGTGGCGTGGAGAGAGACGCAGACTCCAAATATACAGCAGCAGCAGCAGAAGGCAGTGCCATGGTCGTGATCGAACCCCACGACCTCCTGCGTCCATGGGTTCAATCCTTGTCTTCACCTTTTGTGTGTGTCCACCCCACCACCTCCCCGCGTGCTCAGTTCGCGACCGTGTGAGGACGAAGATGGAGCGAGACATCCTGGTGGACGTCAACCACCCCTTCATCGTGCGCCTCCACTATGGTGAGCAGCCGCCGTAGCCGCCGTAGTCCATCTGCACGCGCTCCACCAACCCCTGGCCGCCGAGAGCGGCCAGGGGTTGGTGGAGTTTGGCGAGATTTGTGGTGTAGGCGCTCGTCTGTACGTCACTTTGTGTGCGTGCGAGTGTCTGCGAGTGTCTGAGTGTGTGTCAGTGTGTGTGTGTGTGTGTCTGTGAGTGTGTGTGTGTCTGTGTGTGTCTGTGTGTGTCTGTGTCTGTATGTGAGTGAGTGTGTGTCAGTGTGTGTGTGTCAGTGTCTGTGTGTGTGTGTGTCTATGAGTGTGTCTGTCTGTGTGTCTCTGTGTGAGTGTGTCTGTGAGTGTGTGTGTGTCAGTGTGTGTGTGTGTGTGGCACCTGGGTCTGCCCCGTGACCTCCTGCCAGCGGGCGTTCGACACTTCACGTGGCCTCAGGGTGCACATAGCCTGGCACAAGCGTCGTGGTGACGTCACCACCACTTAGTGGCGAATGGCGGTTGTTGTTGTTGTGTGTCAGTGTCTGTGTGTGTGTGTCTGTGAGTGTGTGTCTGTGAGTGTGTGTCTGTGTGTGTGTGTGTGTCAGTGTGTGAGTGTCTGTGTGTCTGTGTGTGTGTGTGTGTCAGTGTGTGAGTGTCTGTGTGTCTGTGTGTGTGTGTGTGTCAGTGTGTGAGTGTCTGTGTGTCTGTGTGTGTGTGTGTGTCAGTGTGTGAGTGTCTGTGTGTCTGTGTGTGTGGGGAGAGCGGTGGTGCAGCGGTTAGCGCTGCGCTACGAACCCGGCGACCCGAGTTCGATTCCCGCCCATGCCCAACGCCGGTGACGATTATCTGAAAGCGATCTCGGGCCTCCCCTAGGTCGACTCAGCCTCAAACGAGTACCTGGTGTAGCGGTGTAGTGGTGTAGTAAACATCGCTAGCACTGGGAGAGACAAAGGTGGCCGGGCGTGGTGCTGCTGGACACCCACCCCCTCGTGTACCCTGCCGGCCTTCATAGGTAGCTGCTGCTTGCTACTAACAGCACTTGCCCCTACAGTCTGTTAGAGGCTACACGGGGGACCTTTGTCTTTGTGTGTTCATAGGCAGCTGCTGCTACTCGCTACTAACAGCACTTGCCCCTACAGCCTGCTAGAGGCTACACGGGGGACCTTTGTCTTTGTGTGTTCATAGGCAGCTGCTGCTACTCGCTACTAACAGCACTTGCCCCTACAGCCTGCTAGAGGCTACACGGGGGATCTTTGTCTTTGTGTGTTTATAGTCAGCTGCTGCTACTCGCTACTAGCAGCACTTGCCCCTACTCGCTACTAGCCGCACTTGCCCCTTCAGTCTGTTAGAGGCTACACGGGGGACCTTTGTCTCTGTCTCTGTGTCGCAGCGTTCCAGACGGAGGGGAAACTCTACCTCATCCTGGACTTCCTGCGAGGCGGTGACCTCTTCTCTCGCCTCTCCAAAGAGGTGAACTCTCGCCCAACGTGTCGCCATCATCGTCGTCATCATCATCATCGTCATCATCATCATCGTCATCGTCATCATCATCGTCATCATCATCATCATCATCGTCGCTATCATCTCTGTCTCGACGTGCGTCGCCGTGCCCTGCCGGCCTTCATCGGCGCTGCCGCTGCTGCTACTCGCTACTAACAGCACTTGCCCCTACAGCCCTGCTAGAGGCTACACGGGGGACCTTTGTCTTTGTGTGTTCATAGGTAGCTGCTGCTACTCGCTACTAACAACACTTGCCCCTACAGTCTGCTAGAGGCTACACGGGGGACCTTTGTCTTTGTGTGTTCATAGGTAGCTGCTGCTACTCGCTACTAACAACACTTGCCCCTACGGTCTGTTAGAGGCTACACGGGGGACCTTTGTCTTTGTGTGTTCATAGGTAGCTGCTGCTACTCGCTACTAACAGCACTTGCCCCTACAGCCCTGCTAGAGGCTACACGGGGGACCTTTGTCTTTGTGTGTTCATAGGTAGCTGCTGCTACTCGCTACTAACAGCACTTGCCCCAACAGCCCTGCTGCTAGAGGCTACACGGGGGATCTTTGTCTTTGTGTGTTCATAGGCAGCAGCTGCTACGCGCTACTAACAGCACTTACCCCTACAGTCTGTTAGAGGCTACACGGGGGACCTTTGTCTTTGTGTGTTCATAGGTAGCTGCTGCTACTCGCTACTAACAGCACTTGCCCCTACAGTCTGCTGGAGGCTACACGGGGCATCTTTGTCTTTGTGTGTTCATAGGTAGCTGCTGCTACTCGCTACTAACAGCACTTGCCCCTACAGCCCTGCTAGAGGCTACATGGGGGAGCTTTGTCTTTGTGTGTTCGTAGGTAGCTGCTGCTACTCGCTACTAACAGCACTTGCCCCAACAGCCCTGCTGCTAGAGGCTACACGGGGGATCTTTGTCTTTGTGTGTTCATAGGTAGCTGCTGCTACGCGCTACTAACAGCACTTGCCCCTACAGTCTGCTGGAGGCTACACGGGGGCATCTTTGTCTTTGTGTGTTCATAGGCAGCTGCTGCTACTCGCTACTAACAGCACTTGCCCCTGCAGCCCTGCTAGAGGCTACATGGGGGAGCTTTGTCTTTGTGTGTTCGTAGGTAGCTGCTGCTACTCGCTACTAACAGCACTTGCCCCTACAGTCTGCTAGAGGCTACATGGGGGATCTTTGTCTTTGTGTGTTCATAGGCAGCTGCTGCTTCTCGCTACTAACAGCACTTGCCCCTACAGCCCTGCTAGAGGCTACACGGGGGATCTTTGTCTTTGTGTGTTCATAGGCAGCTGCTGCTACTCGCTACTAACAGCACTTGCCTCTACAGCCCTGCTAGAGGCTACACGGCGATCTTTGTCTTTGTGTGTTCATAGGCAGCTGCTGCTACTCGCTACTAACAGCACTTGCCCCTACAGCCCTGCTAGAGGCTACACGGGGGACCTTTGTCTTTGTGTGTTCATAGGTAGCTGCTGCTACTCGCTACTAACAGCACTTGCCCCTACAGCCCTGCTGCTAGAGGCTACACGGGGGATCTTTGTCTTTGTGTGTTCATAGGCAGCTGCTGCTACTCGCTCACAGCACTTGCCCCTACAGCCCTGCTAGAGGCTACACGGGGGATCTTTGTTTTTGTGTGTTCATAGGTAGCTGCTGCTACTCGCTACTAACAGCACTTGCCCCTACAGCCTGTTAGAGGCTACACGGGGGAGCTTTGTCTTTGTGTGTTCATAGGCAGCTGCTGCTACTCGCTCACAGCACTTGCCCCCGCGGCCCGTGGAGGCTACACCCGGCGGGTGGGCCCTGGAGGGTGAGGGGTGGGGAACCTTTATCTCTCGCGTCTCAAAAAAACACGGACAAAGGTCCCCCGTGTAGCCTCGGCAGGCTGCAGGGGCAAGTGCCGTTAGCGAGCAGCAGCAGCAGCAGTGCGTGATCATGGAGGGCGTCTTGCAGGTGATGTTCACGGAGGAGGACGTGAAGTTCTACCTGGCAGAGCTCGCCTTGGCTCTCAACCACCTGCACGGCGTGGGAATCATCTACAGGGACCTCAAGCCCGAGAAGTGACGAGCTCCACGCGCACACACACACAGACACGCGCAGACACACACACACAGACACACACGCACACTGACACACACTCACACATGCAGACACTCACAAACAGACACACAGACACACACGCACACACACACAGACACTGACACACACACAGACTCGCGCGCACACACAGACACACACAGATACACACAACAACAACCGCCATTCGCCACTAAGTGGCGGTGACGTCACCACGACGCTTGTGCCAGGCTATGTGCACCCTGAGGCCACGTGAAGTGTCGAACGCCCGCTGGCAGGAGGTCACGGGGCAGACCCAGGTGCCACGGGTCGACTGACTGAGATGACTGGCTGATGCACCACCTGTGCCCCCTACTGTGCCAACCTGCTGTGCTTTAGCCACCCGGCGCTCCGCTCGCTGTTGTGAGCGTCGCTCCTCCGCCCTCCGTTGTTGTTGGAGGGCGACTGCCTCCAACTGCCCAGTAGCATCCTTCACGAGCCTCCTCCACAGAGGCCGATCTTGACACCGCTGGTACCAGTCATCGGCAAGTCCACTCAGCTCCACGTCCTCCTGTACCACATCACTCCATCTCTTCTCTAGCCCGTGCCGCGCCCGCTTAGCCCCCTCAATCCGGCCAAACAAAAGCTGTTTCGGCATGCGGTGGCTGGGCATGCGGGCTACATGACCCAGCCATCGCAGCCTTGCCTGCCGGAGGAGCTCACCGATGGGACCCTGCCCAGATCTTTCAAGGATTTGTGAGCTCCTCACACAATCCAGTCTGGTTAAACCCAGGATGGATCGTAGGCAGGCCAGCCTAAATGTTTCTAACCGGCGAAGATGTTCCATTAGGGGGGTCCACGTTTCGCAAGCGTAGAGAAGGGAGGGAATGACCGTGGCCGAGAAGACCTGAAGCTTAGTGCGGAGCGACAGACCAGGTAGCTTCCACACAGCGTTACGCAACCGATGAAAAGATATTGCCGCTCGACTGATTCGGAGTGAGACCTCTGCTGTTAAACTGGAGCCAGTCATAAGCACACTGCCCAGGTATGGGAAACTCTCCACTCTCTCCACAACTGCCCCATCACCGATTGGGAGTTGTGGGGGTGGAGTGTCCGATGGTACAAAATACCCAGGCAGGTGCTTAGTTTTGGTGGGGCTGATGGTAAGGCCCCACCTCTTAGTGGCACGCTCCAGTCTCAGCAGCAGCGTCTCCAACTCCTCTGACTGAGCAGCTATTACCAAGTCATCAGCATACATAACGTGGTTGAGCAATAGGGAGCCATCCCTTGACCGCACCCGGGCATTGATTAGCCTCCCATTATATCTGTACCATATGGAGATTCCCCCGGTACAGCTATTGAAGGCTTCACGAACTACGTGGTCAAAATAGATGTTAAATAATGTGGGAGCCAGAGGACATCCCTGTCGCACCCCAAGGTGTACAGGGAATGGCTCTGACTCCCGGCCACGTAGTTTTACCCGGGCCCGCTCACCATCATGAAGGTCCTTAATGATCGTGAGCAGAGGGTCAGGTACTCCAAAAGCACGAAGAACGACCCAGAGCCCAGGCCTACTGATGGTATCATAGGCCTTGACCAGGTCAATAAAGCAGAGATGTAGGTCTTGTTGGAATTCCCTACACCTCTGCTGTAGCAGACGGACAGAAAATATGGCATCTGTGCAGGACCGCCCTTTCCTGAAACCGCATTGGGGCTCCGCAAGCCTCTCCTCAGCGTGCCTGGCAAGGCGATGCTGAATAATCCTTGCCAGGACCTTTCCCGGCACATTGAGGAGTGAGATGCCCCTGTAGTTGTTACAGTCTGTGCGGTCCCCCTTCTTATGCCCTGGTGGTCCCCCTTCTTAAGGGGGACCACCAGGGCATCCTTCCAATCCTGCGGAACCCGTCCAGTGGTCCAGACTGTTGTTATGATGTCATATAGGGCAGTCTGTGCACAAACGCCACCCTCCCTCAGCATTTCGCTTGGGAGATCATCTCTGCCCGCTGCCTTTCCTGGTCTCAGACTCCGGATCGCCTTCAATACTTCCTCAGCAGATGGCACCTCAGCCAGCCACTCACAGGGGGTGACTTCATCCAATATTTGAGGCACCGCAGCCTCAGCAGGGTCATCCTCACTTTGTGCCACGATGTTTTCCTGGCTGAGGGATTTTCCCTCCCCCAGGACCTCACAGAAATGCTCAGCAAATCTGCGAACCTGTTCCTGGGGGTCGGAAATTGGATCACCGTTTTTTCCCCTAATGATGGTAATAGGTGTGGCGCTGCAGGTTACTTTTTTGATGGAGTTAAATAGAGATTTGTGATCACAGGCCACTGAGGCAGACTCCATCTCCTCAGCAACCCGCGACCACCACCCATCCTTGCAGCGCCTCACGGCTCTCCGAACCTCCGAGCGAAGGCTGCGGTAAGCCTCCTCATTCACTGACGTGGGATTCTGTAGCCGATGACAGTGGGCCTGTCGCTTTTTCTCAACCATCCTGAACAACTCTGTCATCCAGGGTGTCTGGGGAGGTCTGGACCGTGTACCCAAAGCAGCCATTGCAGCTGCATGAGTCACAGTCCTAAACCTCGCCCATTTACCCTCGACATCAGGAGGAGTCAGGGACGATGCCAATCCCAGCCGCAAGCGATGATGAAATTCTCGCTTTCAACTTTCATCAGATAACTGAGACCAGGCCACTTTAGGTTGGAATGGGGTCCTGGGTGTACACCCACCACCGGAGTGGAAGAATGGCAGGCGCATCTTACAGATGACTAGTCGATGGTCAGAGGGCAGATCAGCTCCACGGTAGGTCCTGGTGTCAAGGACATGGGCTCGCATTCGCTGGTCCGTCACTATGTAGTCCAGCAGATGTTCTTGCTTGGACCCAGCATGCATCCATGATGTTGTGTGGATGCGCCGATGCCGGAACAGCGTGTTGGTAATTACAAGCCCATGGGCTGCACAAAAATCTAGCAGCCTCCTACCGTTGTTATTGAGCTGATCTGGCCCATGCCCTCCAATCACTCCAGACCAGGTGCCAGTATCATGACCAACTCGGGCATTGAAGTCACCCAACATGATGACTCTATCCCGAGGGGCCACTTTAGCCAGCACCTGTGACAGGAGGTCATAGAAGGCATCTGACTCATCGGCTTTGCCTGCATCCCTCCACGGATGTTCATCTTCGGTGGGGGCATAAGTAACCACGACCACCATTCCTCGCCTCCGGTTGATGGGAAGGCGAGCCCAAAGTAGCCTGGGGCTTACAGCTTCCCACACCTCACCGCCACGCTCCCACGTTCCCTTCATTCTTTTGTTCCAAAGAAGACCCACACCCTGTTGTTTGGCAGTCTGCTGCCCCGGCGCATCCACACAGATACACACACACACACAGACACACAGACACACACACAGACACACACACAGACACACACACAGACACACACACACACACAGACTCGCGCGCACAGACACACACACGCACACAGACACACACACACAGACACACACACACAGACACACACACACAGACACACACACACACAGATACACACACACACAGATACACACACACACAGACACACACACGCACACAGACACACACACACACACAGACATAAACACACAGACACAGATACACACACACACACAGACACACACACACAGATACACACACAGACACACAGACACACACGTGCACAGACAGACACGCGCACACTCGCACACACGCGCACACTCGCACACACGCGCACACTCACACACACGCGCACACTCACACACACGCGCACACTCACACACACCAGCACTTGCCCCTACAGTTGATTAAAGGCTACACGGGGGATCTTTGTCTTTGTTACAATGATGTGTATCTCTCATCGGTACGGAGACTCCTCTTAACTATGACGACATTGTCTGTGTGTCTGTGTGTGTCTGTGTGGTGTATCTGTGTGCGTGTGTGTGTCTATCTGTGTGTGTGTGGTGTGTCTGTGTGTGTGTCTGTGTGTCTGTGTGCTTCTTTGTTCACAGTATTTTGCTGGACGAAGTGGGACACATCAAACTGACAGGTGTGTGTGTGTGTGTGTCTGTGTATGTGCGTGTGTGTGTGTGCGTGTGTGTGTCTGTGTGTGTGTGTGAGTGTGTGTGTATGTGTGTGTCTGTGTGTCTGTGTGTGTGTCTGTGTATGTGTGTGTGTCTGTGTGTGTGTGTCTGTGTGTGTGTGTGTCGTGTGTGTGTGTGTGCGTGGGGAGTGGGGTCGCGGGGAGCGCTACTGTACGAACTTAGCAGATGCCAGAGTTCGGTTCCCGCTCACGGCCAACACCGGTGACGGTATTTTGAACCGGTCTTGGGCCTCCCCTAGGTCGACTCAGCCTCAAATGAGTACCTGGTGCGGTGTGTAAACATTGCCACTAGGGAGACAAAGGCGGCCGGGCGTGGTGCTGGCCACCCACCCCCTCGTCCTTCATAGGTGCTCGCTAACAGCACTTGCCCCTACAGTCTGTTGAGGCTATATGGGGGATCTTTGTCTTGCGTGGAGAGCGACAGTGGAGCATGAGTGTGAGTGTGTGTGTCTGTGTGTTTGTCTGTGTGTGTGTTTGTCTGTGAGTGTGTGTCTGTGTGTGTGAGTGTGTCTGTGTGTCTCTGTGTGTGTGTCTGCGAGTGTGTCTGTGTCTGTGAGTGTGTCTGTGTGTCTGTCTGTCTGTGTGTCTGTGTGTGTGTCTGTGTGTGTCTCTGTACGTGTGTGTGAGTGTGTGAGTGTGTGTGCCTGTGTCCGCTTGCGTGGTCGTGCTGCCGTGGTGCGCGAGTTGGTGGCCGTGGTGGCCGTGGTGGTGGTGGTGGCCGTGGCCGTGGTGGTGGTGGCCGTGGTGGTGGTGGTGGCCGTGGCCGTGGTGGTGGTGGTGGCCGTGGTGGTGGTGGCCGTGGTGGTGGTGGTGGTGGCCGTGGTGGTGGTGGCCGCGGTGGTGGCGGCCGTGGTGGTGGCTGTGGTGGTGGTGGCCGTGGTGGTGGTGGTGGCCGTGGTGGTGGTGGTGGCCGTGGTGGTGGTGGCCGGCCGGGGAGGGTAGCCCCAACCCAACGCCCCCCCCCCCCGCTCTGTCTGTGGCTGCAGACTTTGGCCTGAGCAAGGAGGCCATCGACCACGAGAAGAAGGCCTACAGCTTCTGTGGCACGGTGGAGTACATGGCGCCGGAGGTGGTGAACCGGCGCGGGCACGGACACGCGGCCGACTGGTGGTCACTCGGCGTGCTCATGGTGCGTGTGGTGGTGCACACACACACGCTGACACACACTGACACACACACACACTGACACACACACACTGACACACACTGACACACACACTGACACACACACTGACACACACACACTGACACTGACACACTCACACACACGCTGACACACGCTGACACACACACACACTGACACACACACGTGCACACGCTCACACACACACATGCTGACACACACGCTCACACAGACACACACACACGCTGACACACACGCTGACACACGCTGACACACACACACGTTGACACGCTCACACACACACACACGCTGACACACACACACGCTCACACACACGCTCACACACACACACGCTGACACACACGCTCACACAGACACACACACACGCTGACACACACGCTGACACACGCTGACACACACACGTTGACACGCTCACACACACACGCTGACTCGCACACACGCTCACACACACGCTCACACACACACACGCTGACTCACACACACACACGCTCACACACTCACACACACACACAAGCTCACACATACGCTCACACACACACACGCTGACTCACACGCTGACACACACATACACACACACACAAGCTCACACATACGCTCACACGCACAACACGCTGAAAAAACATGCAAGTTCAGGGAACACAAGCTCACGTGCCGTGTGTGTGTCGTGTGTGGTGTTGTGTGTGGTGTGTGTGTGTGTGTGGTGTGTGTTGTGTGTGGTGTGTGTTGTGTCTGTGTGTGTGTCGTGTGTGTTGTGTGTGTGTCGTGTGTGTTGCGTGCGTGTGGTGTGTGTGTGGTGTGTGTTGTGTCTGTGTGTGTGTCGTGTGTGGTGTGGTGTGTGTGTGGTGTGTCGTGTGTGTGGTGTGGTGTGTGTGTGGTGTGTGTTGTGTGGTGTGTGTGTGTGGTGTGTGTGTGGTGTGGTGTGGTGTGTGCGTGGTGTGTGTTGTGTCTGTGTGTGTCGTGTGTGTGTGGTGTGTGTTGTGTGGTGTGTGTTGTGTCTGTGTGTGTGGTGTGTGTGGTGTGTGGTGTGTGTGGTGTGTGTGTGTGGTGTGTGTGTGTGGTGTGTGTGTGGTGTGTGTGGTGTGTGTGCTGTGCGTGGTGTGGTGTGTGTGGTGTGTGTGCTGTGCGTGGTGTGGTGTGTGTGCTGTGTGTGCTGTGCTGTGTGTGTGTGGTGTGGTGTGTGTGTGTGGTGTGTGTGTGTGTGGTGTGTGTGGTGGGTGTGGTGTGTGTGTGGTGTGTGTGTGGTGTGTGTGTGGTGTGTGTGTGGTGTTCTGTGTGTGTGTGTGGTGTTCTGTGTGTGTGTGGTGTGTGCTGTGTGTGGTGTTCTGTGTGTGTGTGGTGTGTGTGTGTGGTGTGTGTGTGGTGTGTGTGTGGTGTGTGTGTGTGTGTGTGGTGTGTGTGGTGTGTGTGGTGTGTGTGGTGTGTGTGGTGTGTGTATGGTGTGTGTGACTGTGTGACTGTGTGTGTGTGGTGTTCTGTGTGTGGTGTGTGCTGTGTGTGGTGTTCTGTGTGTGTGTGGTGTGTGTGTGGTGTGTGTGTGGTGTGTGTGGTGTGTGTATGGTGTGTGTGACTGTGTGACTGTGTGTGTGTGGTGTTCTGTGTGTGGTGTGTGCTGTGTGTGGTGTTCTGTGTGTGTGTGGTGTGTGTGTGGTGTGTGTGTGGTGTGTGTGTGGTGTGTGTGGTGTGTGTATGGTGTGTGTGACTGTGTGACTGTGTGTGTGTGTGTGGTGTTCTGTATGGTGTGTGTGTGTGTGTGGTGTGTGTGGTGTGTGTGGTGTTCTGTGTGGTGTTCTGTGTGGTGTGTGTGATGTGTGTGTGTGTGGTGTGTGTGGTGTGTGTGTGGTGTGTGTATGGTGTGTGTGACTGTGTGACTGTGTGTGTGTGGTGTGTGTGTGGTGCTGTGTGGTGTGTTCTGTGTGAAGTTCGAGATGCTGACTGGGACGCTGCCCTTCCAAGGCCGAGACCGCAAGGAGACCATGGCCATGATTCTCAAGTGAGTGGCCTCCAAAGGCAAAGGTCCCCCAGGTAGCCTCTAGCAGGCTGTAGGGGCAAGTGCTGTTAGCAAGTAGCAGTCTCAATGAAGGAGGCACAGACAAAGGTCCCCCAGGTAGCCTCTAGCAGGCTATAGGGGCAAGTGCTGTTAGTAGTAGCGAGTAGCAGTGTCAATGAAGGAGACACAGACAAAGGTCCCCCAGGTAGCCTCTAGCACGCTGTAGGGGCAAGTGCTGTTAGCAGGTAGCAGTGTCTATGAAGGAGACACAGACAAAGGTCCCCCAGGTAGCCTCTAGCAGGCTATAGGGGCAAGTGCTGTTAGTAGTAGCGAGTAGCAGTGTCAATGAAGGAGACACAGACAAAGGTCCCCCAGGTAGCCTCTAGCACGCTGTAGGGGCAAGTGCTGTTAGCAGGTAGCAGTGTCTATGAAGGAGACACAGACAAAGGTCCCCCAGGTAGCCTCTAGCAGGCTGTAGGGGCAAGTGCTGTTAGCAGGTAGCAGTGTCTATGAAGGAGACACAGACAAAGGTCCCCCAGGTAGCCTCTAGCAGGCTATAGGGGCAAGTGCTGTTAGCAAGTAGCAGTGTCTATGAAGGAGACACAGACAAAGGTCCTCCAGGTAGCCTCTAGCAGGCTGTAGGGGCAAGTGCTGTTAGCAGGTAGCAGTGTCTATGAAGGAGACACAGACAAAGGTCCCCCAGGTAGCCTCTAGCAGGCTATAGGGGCAAGTGCTGTTAGCAGGTAGCAGTGTCTATGAAGAAGACAGACAAAGGTCCCCCAGGTAGCTTCTAGCAGGCTGTAGGGGCAAGTGCTGTTAGCAGGTAGCAGTGTCTATGAAGGAGACACAGACAAAGTCCCCCAGGTAGCCTCTAGCAAGCTGTAGGGGCAAGTACTGTTAGCAGGTAGCAGTGTCAATGAAGGAGACACAGACAAAGGTCCCCCAGGTAGCCTCTAGCAGGCTGTAGGGGCAAGTGCTGTTAGCAAGTAGCAGTGTCAATGAAGGAGACACAGACAAAGGTCCCCCAGGTAGCCTCTAGCAGGCTGTAGGGGCAAGTGCTGTTAGCAGGTAGCAGTGTCTATGAAGGAGACACAAAGGTCCCCCAGGTAGCCTCTAGCAGGCTGTAGGGGCAAGTGCTGTTAGCAGGTAGCAGTGTCTATGAAGGAGACACAGACAAAGGTCCCCCAGGTAGCATCTAGCACGCTGTAGGGGCAAGTGCTGTTAGCAGGTAGCAGTGTCAATGAAGGAGACACAGACAAAGGTCCCCCAGGTAGCCTCTAGCAGGCTGTAGGGGCAAGTGCTGTTAGCAAGTAGCAGTGTCTATGAAGGAGACACAGACAAAGGTCCCCCAGGTAGCATCTAGCACGCTGTAGGGGCAAGTGCTGTTAGCAGGTAGCAGTGTCAATGAAGGAGACACAGACAAAGGTCCCCCAGGTAGCCTCTAGCAGGCTGTAGGGGCAAGTGCTGTTAGCAAGTAGCAGTGTCTATGAAGGAGACACAGACAAAGGTCCCCCAGGTAGCCTCTAGCAGGCTGTAGGGGCAAGTGCTGTTAGCAAGTAGCAGCAGCAGCGCCTATGAAGCATAGCACATGTTGTTGTTGATGTATCAGAGCCAAGCTCGGGATGATGATGTTGATGATGATGATGTTGATGATGTTGATGATGTTGATGATATTGACGTTGATGTATCAGAGCCAAGCTGAGGATGATGATGTCGATGATCTTCTTTGGTTCTTTCGGTAAAGTCACCACCACGTAGAATGAGAATAAAATAATAAATGTATCAAATAACACGATAAAATTCTCACGACGTTTCGGCCACAACACAAGCGGCCTTCATCAGGTGAAGGGACCGGACTGTCCAGAGGACAGCGTTGTAGTGAAGACAGCCAAGCCCAGGATGTGTCCTTTAAGCTGTGTGGGAGGAAACAAGCAAAAAAACGCCTTGACAAAGGAATTATCATAACAATGATGTACTGGACCGGCACGGTGGGGGGAGGGAGTTTACATAATGTTGGTGTGAAGGGAAATAAGCTTCTGTGAAAGTTTGGGATGCCACTACCACAAAAAATATACCGTACCATTGAAAACTTACTTTAATTTTTGATTTAAAGCTTTCGTGACTGCAGTAATTCATATCCTTAGTTCTTTCGGTAAAGTCACCACGTTGAAGGGAAACAACAAAATAATAAAAAATATATAAAACAATAAAATAATAAAATATATATAAAACAATATTATTTATAAGCAATATTATTTATTGTTTTATATATATTTTATTATTTTGTTGTTTCCCTTCAACGTGACTTTACCGAAAGAACTAAGAATATGAACTCAGTTTAATGTTTGGTTTGATTTAGAACATCTAACCCAAGTGATTGATTAATTTGAAAGCATCCTCTCGGTTGAAATTGTGTCTGCGTTTGTAAATCTGAATTGCCTCGTGGACAAATCTCCGATAGAAACCCGTGGATTTGCAGAGAACCTTGGTATCAGAGACGATATCGTGATCACCCACAGCGTTGTAACAGCTATGTAACAGCTATTAACTGTAACTGGGTATACAGTACAGTATATAATGAATACCATATAGTAAAACAATAAAAAATTGAAATACAAACTACCTCAATGTCATCAATAAACTCTATATATTCTCCAATCAGCTGAGCTACCAACAAACAGTAAGTCGTTATATATCACAATGCTATATGGCGAAAAAAATGGGTGGATTCTTACCCTCAGCTTTAGCACCACGGATAGCTACGGGCCCCGTTTGCACGGACGAGTTCATCCACGGTCGGAACGGAGGAGGGGGGAGAGAGACAGCTGCGAGGCGCTGTTATACTCCATGTTGTAAGCCATACCATTAACCGTGGTGTGAGAGGTATTAAGAGTCAATGCTGGCGAAAGAGCTGCGGTCCGAAGGTCATCGTAAAGTACAATTAATTAAATAAGAACGGAAATGGTTTAAAACATCTTTCCAATGGTTACTAAGCCAGAATCCATCTTCTCGGTTGAAATTATCCCGGTGCTTGTATATGTGAATGGCCTCATGAACGAATCTCTCATGGTAGCCGGTTGGTTTGCAAAGAACCTCCGTCTTGGAGAAGTCAATGTCATGTGAGCCTACTGCTTAAAGGACACGACCTGGGCTTTGCTGTCTTCACTCCAACGCTGTCCTCTGGACAGTCCAGTCCCTTCACCTGATGAAGGCCCACTTGTGTTGTGGCCGAAACGTCGTGAGAATTTTATCGTGTTATTTTATTGTGTTATTATTTTATTCTCATTCTACGTGACTTTACCGAAAGAACCAAAGAGGATTAATCATCCTTGCAGTCACGACAGCTTCAAATCGATGTTGATGATATTGACGTTGATGTATCAGAGCCAAGCTGGGGATGATGATGTTGATGATGATGATGTTGATGATGATGATGTTGTTGATTTATCAGAGCCAAGCTGGGGATGATGATGTTGATGATGATGATGTTGATGATGTTGATGATGTTGTTGATGATGATGATGTTGATGATGATGTTGATGTATCAGAGCCAAGCTGGGGATGATGTTGATGATGATGATGATGTTGATGATGTTGATGATGTTGATGATGATGTTGTTGTTGATGATGTTGATGATGATGTTGATGATGATGATGTTGATGTATCAGAGCCAAGCTGGGGATGATGTTGATGATGATGATGTTGATGATGTTGATGTTTTTGATCTATCAGAGCCAAGCTGGGGATGATGATGTTGATGATGTTGATGATGATGATGATGTTGATGATGATGTTGATGATGATGTTGTTGATGATGATGTTGATGATGATGATGTTGATGATGTTGTTGATGTATCAGAGCCAAGCTGGCGATGATGTTGATGATGATGATGATGTTGATGTTGTTGTTGATTTATCAGAGCCAAGCTGGGGATGATGATGTTGATGATGATGTTGATGTTGTTGTTGATTTATCAGAGCCAAGCTGGGGATGATGATGTTGATGATGATGATGTTGTTGTTGATGTATCAGAGCCAAGCTGGGGATGATGATGTTGATGATGATGTTGATGATGTTGTTGTTGATAATGTTGATGTTGTTGTTGATGATGATGTTGATGTTGTTGTTGATGTTGATGATGTTGATGATGATGATATTGATGATGTTGATGATGATGATGTTATTGTTGATGTATCAGAGCCAAGCTGGGGATGATGATGTTGATGATGTTGATGATGATGATGATGTTGATGATGATGATGTTGTTGATGTATCAGAGCCAAGCTGGGGATGATGATGTTGATGATGTTGATGATGTTGATGATGATGATGTTGATGATGATGATGATGTTGATGATCATGTTGATGATCATGTTGATGATGATGTTGATGATGATGATAATGTTGATGTTGTTGATGTATCAGAGCCAAGCTGGGGATGATGATGTTGATGATGTTGATGTTGTTGTTGATGTATCAGAGCCAAGCTGGCGATGATGATGATGATGTTGATGATGATGTTGTTGTTGATGTAACAGAGCCAAGCTGGGGATGATGATGTTGATGATGATGATGATGTTGATGTTGTTGTTGATGTATCAGAGCCAAGCTGGGGATGATGATGATGTTGTTGATGATGATGATGTTGATGGTGATGATGATGTTGATGATGATGATGTTGTTGATGATGATGATGTTGTTGTTGATGATGATGTTGTTGGTGATGATGTTGATGATGATGATGTTGATGTATCAGAGCCAAGCTGGGGATGCCACAGTTCCTGAGCTCCGACGCTCAGAGCCTCCTGCGTAATCTCTTCAAGAGGAACCCCACAAACAGACTCGGTGAGCCGCTCACCCGCCCACTCTCCCACACACCCACACACTCACTCACCCACTCACCCACCCAACCACCCACCTACTCACTCACTCAATCCCCCACCTACTCACTCACCCACTCACTCACCCACCCATCCACCCACACACTCGCTCACCCGCCTACTCACCCACTCAACCGATTGCTCACCAGCTCACCCACTCACCCACCCACCCACTCACTCACCCACCCACCCACCTACTCACTCACCCACTCACTCACCCACCCACCCATCTACTCACTCACTCACCCACCCACTCACTCACCCACCCACCCACCTACTCACTCACTCACCCACCTACTCACCCACTCACTCACTCACCCACCCACCTACTCACCCACCCACCCACCTACTCACTCACTCACCCACCTACTCACTCACTCACCCACCTACTCACTCACCCACCCACCTACTCACTCACCCACCTACTCACCCACTCACCCACCCACCCACCTACTCACCCACCCACCCACCCACCTACTCACCCACCCACCCACCCACCTACTCACCCACCCACCCACATACTCACTCACTCACCCACCTACTCACTCACTCACCCACCTACTCACTCACTCACCCACCTACTCACTCACCCACCTACTCACTCACTCACCCACCTACTCACTCACTCACCCACCTACTTACTCACTCACTCACCTACTCACTCACCCACCTACTCACTCACTCACCCACCTACTCACTCACTCACCCACCTACTCACCCACTCACCCACCCACCCACTCACTCACTCACCCACTCACTCACCCACCCACTCACTCACTTACTCACTCACTCACCCTCCTACTCACCCACTC